ACACAGAATATTTGAAATATGAGTACAGTCTGTTTAAAATAAGAATACAATATTTGGCTGTACAACTGGAGAATGCAATAATGTGATAAAAGTGACAGTTTTCTATTTCATATGGCAGCAGCCATAGAACACAAGATGTGACACAAAAGATTTGGAATAAGACGCTCGGAGTATGAGTCAAGTATTGTTCACTTACAAGCTTCTGAGTTGTTCATGTAAGGGCTTCAGACATAAAACACCAAAATAATCTTTTATCAAATTAAGATGACAGCTTAGCACTGCTTTCTATAAGAGTGATTAATTTGTTTAAATGATCATAGTAAATGTTCTCTTAGCTGTTATTAAAACAATCTTACATACAAAAGTTCCCTTWCTTTAAAGTCAATTCTAACTTTTTTTTAATCTCCTTTATTTCTGGATATCAATACACAGGTTGTGAACCAGTTGTAGGTTCTGAATTGGGCTCCTTTTTACAGACCTATGGAAAAATATATGCAGTTCAGAAGAGATGACAATGTGGACAGTAAACCTAACTTATACATGAAGAGTAGCAGAAACACAGATGTTTACTATCTCGCTTTTTCAGGATTTTCCATTTATGATATATAAATATACCTGATTTCTCTGAAATATTCTATTACAGATGCAAGCAATTCTGTTCATTTTCATGTTAAGTGAATGACTATCACTTTTTCCTCTTAAATCCAAAATTAATGTTTGGAAAACCAGTGAGAAGTAAAACTGATCTGAAGCAGTATTCCCAGAACAGCGAGTGTCAGCTTGTGAGAGGACACATTTATCACAATTTACGTATAAATGTGTTTTTAGAAGTAGCCATGGGACGACTCCAATTACAGCAACTACAAATAAACTCTATTTTTTAATGCTTTGTTTTGCCATACTACAGGAGAGAAGCAAGTACAAGCCTAATCATGTATTTCTGACAGATGATGCTATTTAATGTGTGCTATATTTAGCAGCGAAAGAAATCCCTAYGCTGTACTTACATAACACTTATTGCAGGGACTGCAATAATGGCTATGCAGACAGGAGTGTCTTCACTCCGTTAGTGCTCACCTTGTCCATGACCCACGTGCATCTGTCCACAGCACTTCTGCGAGCTGGTTTAGGTACTCAGGAGCAGGGGCACAGCTGAGGTGTCCCCAGAAGCTTAAGGAGGATTTCAGAAGACAACCTCAATGAAACCTAGGCAAGGTTTAAACGAGTTTTTGAAGACTACTAGGCTATTTATATTCATAGCACAACGTCACTGCTACATGCTTGCCACCGGAAAAGCACTTACAACTTCTAATTGTGTTGTAAAGTTATACATTAAAAACATAGCTAGCTGGCAGTTCCCTGAGCTTCCTGAAGCCTCAAAGTTAGTCTCCACCAAGGGGCACTGGCAGGGAGCATCTGCACTCAAAAACCATGCAAGGGAGGCAATTTCAGACCTACTTCAAGTTGACAAGTCCACTGTTTAGCAAATTAGTAATGAAAATTCTTTTAAAATGCACAAAGTACAATGAGAAATAATTGAAGTTACTGCATTAAACAAAGGTGGGAGAGCTTATAACACATCAGGAATTAGAGAGGCGGCAGTAGCTTGCTCTTTTTCCTTGACTACTTGCTTCCTGCTTTGGTCTTCTGTCCTAAGCATCTCGTTCATAGCTTCTCTCCTTTCCTACGCTAGTTAAGTAAGGAAACTTCAACTAATCAACACAACACAGTTTCACAGTCACCTACTTGTGAGACAGTTTCCTTTTCATTGCAGAAGACGACAAAAGAGATCAAAACTCTGGACTAACACTTTAGACTTCCCAGTTTCATCCAGCACCAGCCTAAGAGCTTCCCTTCTGTTAAGGTAAATTAAGATAAAGGAGGGGATGGTTTCTTGCCTGTCAAATACATATACACCAAATCCTTGTTTCTTTCTAACCACAACTGGAAATAGCTCAGATACATAACAAAAAAGGGRGAAAAAAGGGAGGATAGGGGAAGTGTCAAAACCTGATACTTAAGGAATTCAGGAAATTGGGGAAGGAGATGAGGAGGAAAGTGCAGGAATTTAAATATGAGTGTCTGGGGCTAATTTTCAGAATAGATTCTAAGTGAATATTCCTTGAACATCAGCCTACTGTGTCACAAGCTGTGCATCAAGAACCCTGCAATTCATTTAGAGAATTCAGACCATCTCCTGCAGCTTCTTGAGGTTCTGCTCAACACRCCTGCAGCTTGGCTAGCAGTAACAGGTCCCATGTTGCACAGAAATACTGGATAGTGCAAAAGTACTTGAGGGGAAGAAGTTAGAAAAAGCAAAGCAAGGTTTACGGAGTAAGCAAATATTAGTCCTATAAAAAGAAAAAACCCACAATATTAGAAATGAACCTTGGTGACTCCTCTAACTTAGCACAGGTTAGGCTGCAGAGTGCCTATCACAGCAGTAAACAGACCTAGTTTTAAGTGAGCTGCAGAAATTACAAAGAAAAAAGTTTCAAGAAACCATCAATCTGCATTCCAAGAAGAAAATAACACAGTTGCAAAATCAGCAGTGGAAGTGAGACCTGTGAGGAACACTCATTTTTTGTTAAYAGCAATTCCTCTAATTTTGCTCTTCATCTTGTGTTGGTAGCCAGCAAGATTAGGGTTTTTATAACTGCACTTCTTGCACGGAAAGTATCACATAAACAGCTTCCCCTTGGACTCACAGTGTGGTCTGAGGTAAGAACTGTCTACAAAACCAGTCACATTACTAATATCAGCTAAACTGCATTTATAACTGAGATGCGTTATCTTTTGCAAGAGATTAATGGCTTTAACTACCAAACCACTACCTCCTTCAGTGATGCAAAGGTGTACAAGCCTCTGAGCAGCTCACCTATTTTTGTTCTAGCTTGTACTAGTTTTTCCATCCCCGTGACACTGAAACATCAATGCAACAAACTTGACAGTGACGCAGTTATTCTTTGATTCTCCAAATTTCTCTATGGTATTAGTTTAGTGTCTCCTCTTTTATTACCAAGTCACTCTGAAAAGCCTACTGACCCCTCGATAGTTCTCTGGGGGGGAAGTTGCCTGGCAGGCCACAGGTAGTTCATTTTACTTTGCAATTTCAATTCTGCCTCCTCCTGAGTAAAAGGAAAGACTCCATTCTACTGGCAGTCAAAAGAAAATATCTTTCACACGTATAAAGTATTTGCAAGCACTGCAACRTGATTTACCATTTAATGAATAATGAATGATGGACACAATACTTCTCTACTCTTTGTTCCCTATATTCTGTAAGTTGGACTATTATCTATCATTTTTTCAACACATAAGTCTATGCTTCCTGCTCTGTGTGTACCAGAGAAGATGGAAAAAACCTTAAGTAATCTGCCTATCTAGAACATTATACTGCACCTCTCCAGTGCACAGTTTTAATTTAGATTTGTCAATAAGGAAATACAACAATTCAAAACAGACAAGGGATCAGTCAAAAGCATTTTTCTAATGCCAAAGCCAGTTGCCAACAGTTTACTTCCCTCTTCTGATACCAGCTTGTTACTCATTACATCCAGAATTTTGCTCAGAATTGGCTCTCTCACTATCTACCACATGCTTTCAAAAAAAGTACCCCAGTAATTTTACCACGAATGACATCTATACAGCCCTTTTTTACCATTTGTCTTTTTCTCTCAAAGTGAAGGTATCAGAAAGTTTCTGTTTTTTCATTCCCCCTAAGAGCTATGAGGTTTGTTCCAGCCCACCCATAACAGCCTGGACAGCTGAGTTTTGAGATCTGCCAAGAAATTACAAATATGACAATTCTCCACWAGAATAAAAACCAGTAGAAAACAATGCGTGTTTCTGACAGTCAAATGAAATCATGCTTTCTAGCTCCATGAACTCAAGAAATTTCCTAAAGGTCAAGATTATGCTTCCTGTGACAAGCTTACCCCAGTATTGCTATATTGACTCCAGCTGCCCCAGAAATAAGTCACCATCTTTCTTTGCCTAGTTCAGTGGAGGCTTTCTATGAAAGCCTCTGACTGTGCAGTGAAAGAAACAACACAGCTCCAGCAAGAAGGATGCTTCCTGGCTGCTCACCCCTCTATCTCTTGATTAATGGCTGTGGGACTAAGAAAGGGGTGCTACATGTCCTTTTCTACTCCAGATCCACACTGCAGACACATTCACAGATCAGGCAACARTGACTGCTATTATAGACATGGCACTCACCAAATATGAGTCTTTACGGTTATCAGTGAAATCAAATCATTGCCAAGTATTGGGAGAAAGATGCCTCTCCTCCACACTGCTGCTCTCATTAGATGAGCAATTGGCTCTAGTGCTTCATTTGGGTTTCATCTATCATCCAGATTGAGAATGATCCTTGCTAACATGAGGAGCAGGTTACCAAGTTATAGTTTGTTGCTGTGTAGTTTCCATACAAATAAACAGATTAACAAAGGTCAAGCCATTCATCCAAAGCCTTATCACAGTGCAGGTACAAGTCAGGGGGAAAATTTAGATGCTTCTTATTCTACTACTCTCATACACTGCCCTTCATTCTCAAGCAAAAAAACAGTACTTCCAGCAAGTTCTTTTTCACTTTGTTCTTTCTCCCCCTGATTGCACATGATGAAAATAATTAAATTCACTAAGACAGGGAAGATACAAATTAAATGATCTTTCTCAAGAACTCATTTCTATCAATAGCAAGCTATTAGCCAAGCCATTGCAAGCAATGGAAAGGCTGTACACACTAACAGCAGCCCATTAGTATGCTCCTTAAGTACAGTAGAAATATCATTTGCTTTTGGAAGAGAAGCAGCAGAAAGAATAAGTGATGTATCTGAGGAGAGAAAAGGAAAGAATTCCTTTGCCTGGAAGGAAAAACCTTGCACATAAGCTTAGCCTTAGATGTAGAAGAGCCAAGGACAAAGCCCACATGGAAAATTCTGGCTACAGAGCTGGTCTCCCAGTTCTCCCCGCGTGCGAACGCTGCAACAACTCACCAGGCCAGTCTCAAGATGACATCCGAAGAGCATAGCCTGCCCAGCAAGACCACGCATTTATTTAGCCTGGAAAAAAACAGTTACAAAAGATGRCAACCAGGCACCTATAATTGCCAAAGTAAATCAGAAAATATCAAGGGCAAACTACCTACAAAGTTGGAGCCCATTAAGTGTCTCCATTAATTGTCTTCAGAACATATTAAACCCTGGGGTTAGGATTTTCATAGCCTGACAAAATGGTTATCTGCAATACTTATGCCTCCAGCATACTATGATTACTAATGAGCTAATTAGTAAGGGTTGTAACTAAGTCTAAGAAAAGACTTTTGAACATTATTTCCCTTCTACCTTCTTGCTAGTTTTGTATTACGATGAAACAAACTAATAGCAACAACATACCCATCAAAAAATGGAAAAAACGTGAACTAAAATGCCTGGATTGACAATCCTACTTAAAAGTATTGCTGTTYTGCTTTGCAAACATTGACTTGAACAAGMGGTCTTAAAGCATGCCAGTTCACAGTTACTTTAGTCCAGTGATTATCATCTTTACTTTTAAGTATAATTTGATAAACTCCATCTGAAATTATGGTCAGGGACACATTTTGTGGAAAGTATTTTSGTTTAATAACTTTTAGCTATATTTTTTTCTTATCCCCTCCAAGCCTTACACCAATTTCCTCACTTCTACTGAATCCAGCCTCTCTGGTTTATCCTTTGCTAGCAGAAAGATCAGTGAGCAAAGTGGCCCACGGCAGCATCGCAGCTTGCACACAACATATAGAGCAGACTCTCACATTCAGCTTAAAACCCACAAGAGGCAACCTTGGATTTCTGCCATATCCTCCTCTTAGACCAATCAGGGAAAAAAATTAAACAGTTCAGTTAAGATCATAACTTACCACCCCAATATTTCCATTCTCCCCAAAATCACTCTCCAAGTCATCTCTTCTTACCTTTCCCCTCCTCCAGGGCAGACAAAGCTTTTGCTTCTAATTCCATTTGACAATTCAGAAGATCACTCAGGAATGCATCATGGCTTTATTTCCAGCATTCGAGTCCTCCATGTTCCATAATGGATGATGTCTGTAGTTAACCGAGGCCTGAGATTTCCCCAAAAGACCACAAAGCTCTTCCAATACAGGTAGCTATTAAAGCAACATGTCTTAAGACTTTTCAATCTGCAGACTATCTGACAAAAATACTCAACCAAAATTGCAAGATGACCTCCTGGGAGGTCAGTTCTGGTCTGTCATAAATTTTGCTGTTTTGATCTGCTGTGCAAAGTCATTTCAAAGGACAGCCCGGTCCACACAATGAGCACCAGGCCCCAATTCCACATACCAGACACGTAACTGCCACTCATCACATACAATCACATTTATCATAAAATATGCCTTAGATACTACTCAAAATGTTTCCCTGTAAAAGTTCAGGTTGAGGAAACTTGTGTTTCAGCTCATTTAGAGTGGGTGAGGAAGAAAGAAATATCAATTCTATTTAAAGTTTGGCACTTTCTCCCCAAATAGGCACTGTCCATGAACTGTAAGAATAGAAAACATCTGTGATTATCTATGGTCAAGTAAAAGCCTTCACTATATTCTGCTGTTCTTTAACAAAAAGAAATTAGTGAGCATGGTGTTTTTGAATATCATGTACAAAACTCATGCTCAACAGCATTATTCATATGCTTAGATGAAGCCTGACATCCACAACCCACTCTGTAAATAAGGACAAAASTCCCATTCTCCCCAACAGCAGGCCCAAGAGCTGTATCAAGTATCAAGTGTATCAAGTAAAGACATTRCATGAGATATACGATTTCATGAGATCTTAGATTAGGGCAGAGAAAAGGTAAAGAAACGATGATACCTATATCCCCTTCCTCCACGCTCTCTGTAGGACACTCTTATGAAGCATTCATGAAGTTTATCATAAAAATAAAAATACTAGGTCAGCAATTTAACATTCAAATTGAGTCATACTATCTCAGTAAACAAGCAACTCAGTAGCTCTGAGGTTAACAGTATAGACTCTAAGCTTAAACTTGCTTCTGAGAATGTTCTCTACTGCCTCTAATTATGCAATGATAAATGATCCATCATCYGAACTGCTGTCAAAAGCATCAGCACAGAAGAAAGCCATAATCCTATCCAAGRAAAAATCTATTTAGAAATGCACAAAAATCTTCATTCTTGGTGCCCTCTTTCCCAAATTTGCCTAGTTGGTTTTTGAATCAAGTGAAACAATAAAACATTTGATCTCAACAAAAKGAATTTGTGGTTACTGCCACTCCAGTGTGAAAAAATATAAGAACTTAAAACAACTGCAAGTGAGAGCGCTTTTTATTTGGTTATAAAAAATGTTTTTGTTCAGTTGCATCTTTTGCTGCATGTCGCTCTTATGCCAAGACTAGGGTTGCTGAGTACCAGTCTTCTGATTCCTCATCTGAGTAGAAGCCATTTCTCAAGATGACGAGAGCCAAGATCAAACAGCAACGCTATTAGCCCTATTTGTTGTACCATTATTTTCAGCTATCCAATTTTTCTCAGGCTGCTATCACAGCCTGTAAAGTATTACAGGCTTTATTTGCATTTGTCTGTTTGTGGGTCTAAGTGGTTATTAATTTGTTTAATCTAAAATGGACTTCTACCTTGTTTGTGATCCCAAGCACTAAAAGCTGAGCTACGCCTCTGCCATCACGAAGCTGCTTCCAAACAATGAGAGCCTGTTCCCAACCACTGCAGTCTGGCATCCAATGATCTCCACAAGTTGCACGTTTAATTAGAGTGAAAAAACTCATTAAGGTAACTAGAATATTAAGATGATAGCACTGTTCTGTGTAGCAGTGTGCACAATCTAATGTGGCAGATGGCACAGACTGCAGACACCTGTGCTGGGTTTGCGATCTTGCTGACAGATACAAAGTCAACAGTATAATTGTAAGATACATAACCATAAAACAGGATCTGAAAATAAAATACCCATTAAATCTTCTGTTTTCTGGATGCCTGTTGGTTCATAAAACAGCATKTCACATTCAGTCACTGAAGGCGAAACAAGAGATGCACAGGTTGAGGTTTTATTTTTATTTCTTTAAATGCCACTTGCATTTTTATACTTTAATTCCCTTCAGGAGCTGTACTTTCCTTTTTGCGGCAGTGACAATGCAGCACTACCRGGGTCACGGGAAGCCTTATTCCTCCTTCACCTACATCCTCAGATGACATATTCACTTTTGCTCCTCATTAGTCCAGACTCAGTGCTCTGAGGGATYGGATTAGAAATGTACAAGCTTTAAGACGCCCCAGCTTGAAGCTACTTTCCTGATAACACTGCATACAGATGTGATGTGAGCTCTGATTTCTCTATATAAAATTTTATTTTTGTTGGGTTTTAYATACCTGTTAAAATCAAAAAATGATCAGTAAATCTCTGAAAAGGTTTATCTGAAATTATATTAAAAATGGAGGAAAGCACACCTAAGAAGTTCCCATGCCTTAATCACTTTAGATTGAAAAGGAAAGGGAAAGTCAGATGATTGAACTGCCACAAGACCACAYAAAATAAATGCTCTATTTTTTCCGTTATGTTTGAGGAGGGGGAAAATATATATCGCTTGCACACAGAACTACTGGCAGCAATGGCACAGTAACCACTCACAGAAAAGAGKAGATAGAGAAGAAAAAATATTTGTTACATTCACCTTCTAAAAATGAAGCTCTACCAAGAAGCACTTCTCCAATACCTAAATGCCTTGTGCAATCAAAAAAAGAAAGCAAAATAAAGACTTAGCCAGCCTCCTCAGCATTTCAAACACACCACATTTCTTTTTTATTTGCTTTTGTTTAACTTCATAGAAAAATAGTAGCTTGCAGCATGCCTTCTTGGAAGGACTATATTAAGATTCATGACCAATTTTGTTGCCTGGACCATACCAAATCTTGCAAACCAACCAGTGTGCTCTTTATTGAGAACTGCCTTTCAGAAGTGAGGCTAAACTCATCTCTAATTCCTGGGGCCCAGTTTTTGTCTTCCAGTTTCTCAGTGCAGAGAGGAAATACAGCAATAAAATGCTACTGCCTTGGAGAACTCTAAAGGCTTCTGCCTTGGACCTTTTGGTTTACCTAGTAAAATTACAATTTGTGTTTCATCATTTAAAATCTATGCACACAATTTGGTGTGGATTTTTTTCAAAAAGCCTGGATTGTTCCAGGCAGCTTTGTCAGAAAGTGAACTGCATGTTTTAATTTTGCAGTGTTTTGGATTTCTTTCTCATTATTTAAATAAGCTTGGACAAGTTCCACCAATCAATGATGAAAATTAATTTCTTGTAATTCCTGCATAAATACATCTCATCAGCACTGGCTTTTTGTATCAAAACCCCAAAAGGGCAAGAGATGCCAACCAACACATGCTGACAAATTCACAATTATTGGCAACCAATGTAATGCCATCATGTTTTGTGAATGTCCATGTTTTCAGAAAACCATTAATCTCTCCATCTCTCCCTGCAGGCCCCCACCTTATGTGGTGCCAAAGCCACATTATCCATTTCTTCAGCRTGATCTTTCACCTTTAGGTCAGATATTTAGCCTACCAGACAACATTTCTATTTACAAAGTATTCTTTCATACCAAGACAGACATTTGGACTGTCCTATTTGTCAGAGAAGTTGTCCTTTCATTGAAGAATAGTCTTACAGAGGGCAATGACATACATATAAGAAAACTGATGCTAGATTTGTCTTCTGTGAGAAAAAAATGAAACATTTCACAACAGAGCATAACACCTTGGCTTCACAAGAAAATAAAGTGCTATGGAAATACTGAAATACCCTGGTCACACTCAAGTTTAATACTTAGGCTAATTTATATGCAATGCTAGTCTTGCAACTCAGTTCACATGAAATTGTCCCAGAAGCACAATAATCACCCAGTCTTTAAGACTATCAAAACATATGATGTATTTTTCTCAGAAGAGTACAAAATATACACCATGAAAAAATCTATATGACTTCCATATAAGTCTTTATAAAGATAATAAARATGAGTTTAAACTTTT